TACACCACCATCATGAGGGAGGGGCTGTGTGTAATGCTAGTGGCCGGTTCCTGGGTTCTCTCCTGTGGCATTGCCCTTTTGCATGCCGTCTTCTTGGTCGGAGTGTCTTTCTGTGCTGACAATACCATCACCCACTACTTCTGTGACCTCGCTGCACTCCTGAAGCTGAGCTGTTCAGACACCTTCATCAATGAGCTGGTCATATTCATCGAAGCAGGAATTATTTTTTTTGTGTGCATTGGTGTTACTTTGGGCTCCTATATCCGTATAGGGACCATCATCCTGAGGGTGCCGTCCACTAAGAGACTCTATAAAGCCTTTTCTACCTGTGGCTCCCATCTCTCTGTGGTGTCTTTATACTATGGGACAGCTACAGGTGTTTACTTTTTCTCTTCATCATGGGGTTCCAAAGACATAATTGCTTCTGTCATGTACATGGTAGTTACCCCCATGCTGAACCCCTTTATCTACTGCCTGAGGAGCAGAGATATAAAACAGGCCTTAGAGATGTGTATGAATAGGTTTAACTTTTTAAAGTGGCAATCACTAGATTCTCTGGTTGCAGTCAGAAGCACAGGGAAATAAATCTAAAATTATTTATGGTCGACATCTCCATATAACATTAATAAAATATACATTCTGTTGTCATGTACAAGTGTCGTTAATATGTAAACTAGGTCACATTTGCTACTTGGATTGTTAATAATTCATTATTATTTTTCGCTTGTCCATTGTCTAAGATATATGCAAAATATACTGCAGAATTATACCTGTGGATTTGCTTTTTCTTTGTCTTTTGAGATATGTCATTTTTGTTTATGTATTTTTTATACTATGTTATTGAGGACACACTGATTTTGTGTGTCCCTCCTGGGGACATTTTTTTTCTTCAAGTAATTTTTTATTGTGTTAAAATACATAATATGAATTTGCATTATAACAATTTTTCAGTGTACAGTTCAACAGCATTAGGTGAATCCACATTGTTTTGTTGCTTATGCATTTTAAAGCTCTGTCATTAGGTACCTATA